AACGAATTATTAATGAATACATTATGATGTTTTTCTTTCTACCTACAATATTGTCTGAATTGTTTTGTTTGAAGTCAAAAAGAAAATTATGCAGTAAAAGACAAGACAATAATCTTGTTAAATTCAGAAAGTATTAAAGTTATTCTTGTCATCGGATTTCTTATTGACTAAGTAAATATATATTGTAATTTATTTATTTTAGAAAATGAAAAATCATATATTTTTTCTTCCTAGATCAATAGGAGGGTCAGGTTTCTGTTTTGTTGTCAAACTTATTAAAAATTCTTGTGATTTATTTGAAATAATAAATATAAGATTTTTGTTGTCTATCGTTTTATTAGTAAAAAGGTGTAATGAGAATCTAATGTATATTCAAATCAAGTAAATATTTATATTTCTGACGAAACTTTTTATATCTTAGAATATTTTCTATTCAACATAACGCACGATGCAAAAGTAATGACACAAAATATCGATCTCTATAGCTCTTTGATAAATAGATTCTAAAAAAAAAATATTTTTGTTTATTAATTGATAGGAAAATTTTCTTCTCTTTCGAACAGTGTATCCTTGATATTTGTCACACATTAATAAGTGAAACGAGATGAAAAATGAAAAAGAGAAACATTCTCGAAATAAATTTGTAATTTTTAAATGTATTCGTAAAAATAACCATCATTTTACAAAATCTTTTTAATGAGTCTCCAAAGATCGATTTAATTGCTGTCTAGCAGGATGTTTTTGACGAATATATTATATAAAAATTACAAATTTATTTCAAGAATGTTTTTCTTTTTGTTTTTGTCTTGTTTCACTTATCAAAGCGTGACAAATATGAATCAAACGATGTTCGAAAGAGAAGAAAATTTCCTATTAATTGATAAATAAAAATACTCGTGTTTTAGAATCTATTTATCGAAGCGCTCTGAGCATCGACATTTTTTGCAATCCTTGTATAGAAAAGGCGCAGATTTTTCTCTAGGAATACTTCTCTTTTCTATTGCATTATTTCGTTTATGTATATGTTATAAAATAAATTATATACGATTCGAAAGAGGAGGAAAAGCTCTAGTGTTTGATAAAAAAAAAAGTTTTTTTTTCAGCACCCTTTTATCAAAGAGAAATAGGGATCGACATTTTTTGCCACTACTTTTACATCGTAGGTTAGAGGTGATATCTCATGGGAATGAATTTTTTTCTATCCTTCTCGATTTTGCAATCAATTTTATTGAGAACTACATTAATGTCCCTATAGATGTTTTATTAAATTATTTGATAAATATTTCGAGTTAAGATTTTATTCAGATAATCAATCAAGAAAATATCAAGTCAAAATCTTTAATCATTTTAAAACGATCGATAAAAATTTCTTCTACCGAAGGAACGTTTTCAACTAATCGATTCTTTTTTTTTAATGAAAGCTAATGGATTTTAAATTATTAATCATGTGAATTTCGAATATGACCATGTGAAACTTCCTTAAGACTTTATATGCTAGTTTTCTAGAAAACTGGTTTTTCCAGACTATTGATATGTATCTGTTGTACGAATTAAAAATAGCTGTACTTTCTTCTAAAACAAAATAGTTTATAACAGAAAAAGTTACAATTTTCTGCACAATTCGATAAGTTCTATAATCTGAACAAAGAAAAAACAATTTTTTTGGCGAAATGTTTGTTAATTTAAACAACCAATATATGAATATCTGAGAAGATTTCTTATGATCATATTCGGAATCATTAGAATCAATAACCTATAATCCATTAACTTCGTTTAAAACAAACCGACTGATTAGTTGAAAATATTTTCTTGTAAAACGGAGAAATTCATTTGTTGTTTAGTCATGATAGGTGAATCATTTTAAATATTATCTTTGATCGATTTCTTGTGTCATACAAGTGTATACAGAATGTATTCAAAGATACTTAAAAATCCAATAGTCTTTTAGTGTTTGTTCTTTATCATTATTAAACTGTTGAAATATGACCTCTAAGAGACAATTTTCTTAATACCACATAATAACTGTCGTTGTTAAGTAAATTTAAGATGAAGAAAAAGAAAAAAATATTCGGATGAAACCTTATATAAAATTAATGAAAAAGTTAATCTTAGCAATGGATTATGTGATCTTCGTGATTTTTAATATGTAGCTTCATTTAATATATTTTTACTAGAAAACTTATTCTGTGATAAAATAGTATTTATGTAAAAGCCATAAAAAATATACTTCATCGCTAATCTGTATTAGAAACTATTATGTCAAAATATATGAAAAAACAAAATGACTGAAAAAAATAAAGATCTAATAATAAGCTTTATTCTATATATATATATATATACATAGCATCATATTTAATTATCATTAGCTGAGGAAATATTTCTAACACTTTTTTCGTCTAACACTCGACGTTCATAGAGCTTGAAGTGTACATCGAGTATACCACTGGCTTTTCAAGTGTGAATAACACAATATGACTTGTTCTTTTTTACCCGATAAACTAGTTTAAAATTTTCTTTTATATTTTTTCTGTAAAACTTAAATAGACATTTAGTCAATTTTTGTCAACAAATACGTGATTTTTAAAAAATTAAAAAAATAAACTTAGCCTTTTCAAGTATTTTATTATTTTCTATTTATAGCTGTTTCTCATTAAAATATTTTTTTATTTATTTATTTTAGTCTACGGCTGGTAAATCTCCAATATTACCAACGACGAATATAACATCACAAGAAAATTCTTCTTCTTCTTCGTCTTCTTCTTCTTCTTCTTCTTTTCCTCATATTACTTCTGATCTAAATACTATAATTCCTTCTACTCAGCAGGATATATCTTCCTGACATGGGAACTATTGAACAGATATATATATATATATTTTTCCAATTTATCATCATTATATATTTCACATGTAAAATTTATCTGTTTTTGTCACTTTATAAAAATGTTCCATTTTGTTTGTCATTATCCCTCCTAATTCCAATCTAGTCGTGTTTAACAAAGAAAAACAAATTTAAAACTTATTTTCTGTTTATATATCTCTATGTTATAATGTGTTCATTTAATATAAAGCAAAAGGAATGAAGCAGTTCTTTTCTTTTTCCTTTTTCTTCTTCTTCTTTAGATTTATATAGAATCATCGATCGAACAAAAGATTATATGATCAGTATAGTATTACTACAGGTTGGAAAACAAAATAGGCTTTTGTGACATTATATACAGAACATAGAAACAGATGTGACTTTTCTCGTTATAAATTAAAATGGATTGATATTGGTTTTTTTCCTTATTGATAGATGAAAACCTATTGAATATCTATGATGAATGTACGATTGAATAGAATAGAACTATTGTTAATTCAGGTAATATATAATTTGATTTTGTTTATTTTTTATTTTTTATATATATTTTTTTTTTGAAATTAATCTTTAATTTCAATTTTGTAGAATTGATAAGAAAAAATCTTCTTTTTTGTTTTGAATATGATTACATCACAATCATCACCAGAAAAAAGATTGTTCAATTGGCAAGAACAACAACAACAGCAGGTTAGCATAGAAAAACCAAGGATGTGCCGATTTGGATGTTCAGCTTTCCTTTTTCTTTTTCTTCTTCTTTGTTTGTTTTTGTATTCTTTACAATCAATATAATAGTTATTTTCTTATTCAGGATATATATATAGAATATGTGAATGACTAATAATATTTTAGTAAATGTTAGACGTGATGACGATGATTCGTTCGACCGGATCACTCTCTTTTTTCCGTTATTCTTGTTTCAATTATCTATCGCCCTCGCTAGCGTTCTTTGTGCGTGTTCGAAGTCTCATTCGGCTTCATAATCTCATTTCAACCGTCTTTCTTTTTTCCACCCCCTCACTTTTTTCTATCACTATATAGCACATAAACACATATATTCTATTTTGTTCTCAATGGTTACATTCACATGTAGAAGATGGTGGTATATGAACGAAATATTAAGCCCTAAAGCAATATCGGTAACCAATATAAAATTCGTCGTAGATCATTGATTCAGTAACAATGACATTGATTACACGAGATCAAGTGAGTTTAGAAGACTGTCAAATGTATTAATACACATTTTTTATTTTTAATTAATTATAAAAGTAATATCAGTTAATTGATCACTCTATGAAATAAACGTGTTAACATAGAATTAAAAAAAAAAAAAGAATGAATTTATTTTTTTACAAGAACATGAGAATTATAATGTTTTTCTTTTTCTTTTTTTTTGTTTTTTGTCCATAGAGAATACCTAGTCAATGTAAGTTATTCAGTCATCATTTGTAATTTTGTTTTGCTAGCATATAATGACTAACACTTGATGCATTATATTTTATTTTATTTATTTTTTCTCATATTCCTTGGCATCTACTTTCTATTTGACGATATATAGTTGCTCTTGCATGCGTAGGTTCAAATTATCGTTTTTATTCGATCACATATTTCCTTGATAGAATGCTTGTTAAATAATAAGTGTGTTCTATGCTATTGCTTGTCTTTCCTTCTCTTATCTATTTTGAGTATCCATAGAAAAATAATAATAGAATACGACAGTAGGCATTGTTAATGCATGCAGTTCATTGAAAAAAGAAGAAGAAGAAGAAAAAAAAACTCGACACTTATATCTATCTGTTTTTTTTTTTCTTGTTTTCTTGCAAAAGAAATGATGAGTAGGCAAATTGTTGTTATTTTGAAAGATGATCTTTTACTGATGGAAAAAAAGAATTCTTAATGTCAAATATATATTAAGAAATAAAGAGAAAATCGTATTTGTTAATGACAGCTGTCAAAATCGATGCAGTATGTTGAGTGAAGTAGAAATCATTGTAATAAATACGAAAAGACATATTCTTTTTTTCTTTGTTTATAGTCAAATACGAAAAATGACATTGATACTACGTTATTTTGGACAAGAAATTTTATAGTTCTATCAATTGGAAGTATTATGTTAACATTTATTGTAACATTTGTAGCTGTAGTAAGTTTTAATTTCCTAGTCGATTTTCTTTGAAATAAATCTTGATCAGATCTATTGGTGTTCAAAACAACAAAAATTATCAAAAACAAAATCTCATCCATCTGAATTATCATCTTTTACAACACATTCTATTAATGTTAAAGCATCGAGACCAAAAGAAATAAAATTATTTCCTATTGTACCAAAATTAATTCAACCAAATTCATCATCATTCATATTACCTACTATTGAAGATAATAATTATAATAATCTTAATCATGATCGATTTACGACAGATACATGTTCAACAGCTGATTCATCATCATCATCAACGGCTATAGCTACAAAAAAATTTCGAAAAAAAAATCTCTTAGAAAGGTACGGTAGTTTAAATTATGTTCTTTGGACTATTGTGAAAAAAAACTTGTAGGCGTTCGATGAGAATCATCAAACAGCTGTCCAAAATCAATTACTGATGAAAAAATATGCGTATAGGTTTTTTTGTACGAATCGATAGGTGGTAAAAAAAGAAAACAATTATTTTTGCTTGTTGTTTTGACCACCTCCACTTTTTTTTCTTCTACCTACCTTTTTCTACCTACGCTTACAAATGTGTTTACTTATATATGTCTTGTTGAACGTGGTGAGGAAGTGACAAACAATATGTATTTATTTGAAAAAGCTTTAAAACTATCTTTGTCAATACTAGTAATAGAAAAAATATATACTTGAAGAAAGAAATCAAAAGTGAATAGGCTTTTGCTTTATTGTATGTAGGCGTTTTCTTTCTTTCTTTTTTTTTTTTTTTAATATTTTGCTTATGAATAATACAAAAGAATTATAGGATAAAGAAAGAAGACATTATTTAATTGAAAAATTTTCTATGAATTGTGTAACTCAAATAGAACTTATGAATGAATAATAAACTTATTAGATAATGTTAACAAATAGAGCTTTAACATTTTGTTAATTTAATAGAAATATCACAATGACATAATAATATCTAAAAAGTCATGAGAATTTTTTTCTCTCTGTTTGTTACACTATAACTGCTCTTTTTAATAATCATAAGTAAAAAAAAGAAAAAAGCAGAAAAAGAAAATGACAGAGAGCGAGGGAGGAAAAGTGAGAAATATAGAGAGACAGAGAAAGAATGAAAAAGAAAAAATCAAAAAGAAAATATTCATGTTTCTTTTACATTTGCTTTTTTTTATCACAATAATGAAAGAGTATGTTTAGATTATCATATCTACAAATCTTTGACGTTTGATCTCGAATCACATTATCTCATAAAAAAAAAGCATGACTAAATGAAGTATTACAAATATGTATATTAAAAAAAAAAACTATTTCCATTATATATTAGATGACATTCTAAGATTTATATAAATACTTCAACATAAAAAAAAAAAAGAGCAGACGGATTAGTATAGAAAAACCATGGAAGTGGAATCACCAACCGTCTGTTGTACGTATTGGAGTAAACCAACATCATTATTATTTAAGAGGAGGTACGTTATGTTTTTCTTTTAATAATATTTTACAACGAATATTGAATATTTATAATTGTTATGAATAAGAAAAATATTAATCATAGACAATAAAATGAAATAGTTATAAAGAATAAGTAGATTTTCTATATATCGAAAGATGATGTCACATACATATCGTGTAAAAAAGAAAAACATTTTTCTTTCCGTTGGAAGCGGAAACGGAATATGAAGCACAGCAATTTAGTTTTGAAACAATATGTCTATCACGCTAAGAAATCCTATGTAAAATTTAAACTTGAACTATTTATCTTTTTGTTATCGTTCAAGGTCATATTGACAATATTTATTCAAAAAAAAACAAACTATTATTATCATTAATTATGATGTTTGTTTTTTAGGAGAGGTTCAAATAATTCATTAACAATCTCAATAGCTCCAAAACATCGTCTTCTTAATAGTCCACCAGTGGATTGGTAAATCAAAATTTTGTTTTAATATATATATATATATATATTCTTTTTTTAGTCCATCTGATGAATATTTACTAACAGCAACAAGAAAATTAACTATTGATGAACTTCATCAACATGCACAAGATGCTCGATTACTTTATCATGAATTTTGGGTTTGTATTTCGAAAAATACAAAAAAGAAAAAAAGAAAACAAAATCATATTTATTTAGACAATTCCAACAAATCATCTTGAAAAACTTCGTATTTGTGGTGCTGGTACTAAAAATCGTTATGGTACAATTATAGCTAGTAAGAATAAAATGCAATAAAATCTTTTTTTTTTTTTATTAATTTTCTTTATTAAAGATGATCATTCTCGTGTAAAATTATCTGAACTACCTGGTGATCCACTTTCATCATATATCAATGCAAATTATGTTACTGGTTATCCAAATGAATATCATGCATTTATAGCAACACAGGGCCCATTGGCCAATACAATTATTGATTTTTATCGAATGATTTGGCAAGAACATGTACCAGTTATTATTATGATAACTCGTTTATTTGAAAAAAATAAAGTAAAAACAAAAAAATAACATAAAAATTTTCAAGAATTTTGTTCTATGAAAAATTTTTTTAGGCAAAATGTGAAAGATATATTCCAGATAGTCAACCTACTCAATATGGACCATTTCATGTTCAAATTAAATCAATTTCATATCAAACTGATTATGAAATACGTCGATTGATTATTGAAGTAAGATTTTTAAATTTTGTTTTTTTTGCTTTCATATGATTTTTATTTGTTTTGTTTTAGTTTGAAAATGAACAACGTGAAATTGAACATTATTGGTATACAGGTAAGAGAATGAAACAAAAAATTTTTCTTCAAAATATATGTTATATCTTATATAGCATGGCCAGATCAATCTTGTCCAGATAATGCTCAACCATTAATTGAACTTGTTAAAAATGTTGAAAAAAGTCGATTAGAATTGTCGAATTTAAATAAACATTTTGGTCCTATTGTTGTTCATTGCAGGTATATGAGTTTTTTTTTTTGTTGATGACTTGAAAGAAAGAAAAATAAGTTACACATGACTTTTATTTCGTTTTTCAATCTGTTATCTTCGCAGAAATAATTTAATAGGTTAACATAGCCTAACTATTAATAAAATAATAGCAAGGATTAGTCATTTGAGTGTTTATGCTAAAGATAGATTGCAACAAGCGTAGGTTGACTGCGTCAAAAAATATGTTTATATAGTAGGAATAATCCGTCATATTTTTAGAAATAATAAAAGTTCAATTAATAAAAGTATGTCGGATTAGTTCAAGTGGAAAATAAATTAGTTCTTTTGAACTATAAATTATTTCTGATTATATTCAATCCAACAATTTAATAATAACTTTTTCTATTCTAGTGCTGGCATTGGCCGTACGGGATGTTTCATTGCATTGAGCAATGGTGTAAAACAACTTGATAATGAACATATTATTGATATTGTTCGTATACTTTGTGACTTACGTCGAGATCGTGGTGGAATGATACAGACAAATGATCAATATCAATTTGTTTATCAAGCATTAAGCGAATACGCAAGAACGTTGCAATTCTCATCTTGATGATCTTTTTTTTTCTTTTATTTATTTATTTTCTCCATCATTTTGTCGACAATCTTTTGTTTGTTTTTTTTCTTCTTTCTTCCTAGTTGTCGATTGTTATGTATTCTTAATTTGTCTATCTTTCTTGCAGATATAAAAATTATTGAGGTGTGAGAAAAGACCTATTCTAACATATTGTTTTATTTTCTTTATTGATCTTTATATATGCGTGAGCATGTGTGTGTGTGTGTATGGTCTATAATACTATTTTGTTTGTGTGTTAACCAAGGAAGGAAAAAAACAACTAGAAAAAAGTGTTATTATTTTTTAAAATTTAGAGAAAAAAAAAGAGAAATCCGATGGTGATGATAGTTTTCTAATTGTTGGTATTGATCACATCGAATGAATTCTATTTTTTTTGTGCATTGTTGTTTATTATTATTATTTTTTTTTTGGCTAGGGAATTTATGTCGTTCATTTTAACCCGTTGACATTCCAATGTACATTTGTATGATGCGTTTATTTTATTTTATTTTTTCTTTTTTTCGAAACATAAAATGGATTTGTAGAAATGAATATTTAAAAAAACAAAAAAAAAACCAAGTAAAAATTTGAATTTTTTCTTCTCATCATTAGATAATGTCCATAGTGGCTTTAAAAACGGGTAACCGTTCATTAGTTAAAATACGTTCATTAATATTGCATATTGATTGTGCATATGCATCAAATGATACATCAATTCGAACGTCAACAAAACCGTCAACATCGGTTACATTTGTTGGTGATAATTTACCCATTAATATGGATTTAAATGAAGTAAAATCACTTCGATTAACTGATATGAGACGTGGTGGTGGCGGTCGATCAAGTTTTAGTGGAATCGTAGCAACTGTTTTTGGTGCACAAGGATTTGTTGGTGGTGCAACTGTTAATCGACTTGGTATTATTATTTAATTATAATTAATACAAAAAAAAAATGATGATTTTGTTTTTAGCAAAAGAAGGTTCACAAATCATTGTACCTTATCGTGGTGACGTTTATGGTTTACGCGAACTTCGTCTACTTGGTGATCTTGGTCAAGTTCTTTTCGTAGTAAGAAATTCTCTTTTTGTTTTGTGGCATGGGATCAGATTCTTCATAGACTCGTGAGGAAGGTTCTTCAAGTGTCAAATCGCTTTTCGATTGAGACGATGTTTATCTGACTGGAGATATAAATATATTGAACAAAATTTTCTTTTACACATGAGAGAATTTCGAATATTGAATATCTTAGGATAGGAAATACTAGAAAAGTTATCACATTCATCAAATACACATCGTCTTAATCGAAAAGTGACTTGCCACCCGGAGAGTTTCCCTTGTCAGTAATGGATTTAGGAATTTGGTAGGGGAGGGAAATCGTTCTTTCCTTCCGAAATATTTTTCGATTTTTTTCAGTAGAAAATATTCAAAAATGAGCTAATACAATCTCTAATAGATTTCAAAGTACATTTTATGATCATGATCATCCCCCTTTAGCAAACCCTAGATCTCCCCCCCCCCCTGCTTAGACCATGTATTCTATCGATATAAGGAAATATTTACTTATTCAATTAAGAACAGATCAGTAAGTGTAATCAGAATAAAAGAACTTTTTGTTTTATTGTATGTATTAGAATATTGCTATTGTTTTACTATTAGCCATTTCATGGTAAAGATGAAGCATCCATTCGTCGTGCTTTACAACATTCAAATGTTGTTATTAATTTAATTGGTCGTCAAAGTGAAACTCGGTAGATAAATGCTACGTTTTAATTCAATTAGAAAAAATGTTCTTTTTCTTTGTAGTAATTTTTCATTTGATGATGTCCATGTTAAATTAGCTGAAACAATAGCAAGATTAGCACGAGAATGTGGAGTACAACGTCTTATTCATTTTTCAGCTTTAAATGCAAGTCCTAATCCACCAGCTATTATTGTTCGAAAACCATCAAAATTTCTTCAATCAAAAGTAAATTAAATATTGATAAAAAGAATCTTTTTATTTTTTTTTTGTTTTATTTTGTCTTTTATAGTATGCAGGTGAATTAGCTGTTAGAGAACAATTTCCTGGTGCAACAATATTTCGACCATCAGCTATATTTGGACATCAACATAATGATGGATTTATTGCATATCATTTTTCTAGATGTAAAATTTTATTTAAAAAATTTTTTTCTTAATAAAATAATCAATGTTATTTATTCTAGGGGTTCGACCAATGTCGTTTCTTCGTGTTCCTCTTTATGCATCAGGAGAGAAAACTGTTAAAGCACCTATATTTGTAAGAAAATTCATTTAAATTATTTATAAAAACAAAAATAACTTAAAGAAATTTTTCAGGTTAATGATGTTTCAAATGCTATATATGCAGCTATTCGAGAACCAAACAGTGTTGGACAAACTTATGAAATTTATGGGTAAAATAATCGAAATAAAAGTTTATTTTATTTGTAAAATTATTCATAGACCTGAACGTTATAAATTACGTGAATTAATTGAATATTGTCTTCGATATATGCGTCGAAAAAGTATTATTACACCATTGACACCAGATGTTTTGTAAGTAATATTTTAATATAAAAACAAAAAAAAAATTTTTTTGAAGAATTAATCATAATACAATTATAATTTTCTATTTAGTGTAAAAGCAATAGCAAATTCTACGTTTCATAAAAGTCTTTATAATATCGATCGTATGCAATGCGTATGTTATAATAACTATTTTTATTGTCGATAAAACGAATGATTTTTTTAGGCTTATGTCTCCGATACAACTACACCTGGTTTACCGACAATACGTGATTTAGGTATTGAACCAGTAAAATTTTCTGCTGCTATTGGACATATGATGGCTTCAATGAGAAAAAGTGGTCGATATGTTGAAAATCCAGAAGATTTCTTAATACCTGATCCACCAAAACCCGTTTCACAAGAACTTGAACTTTCATATAATTTATCCTCTCCTTAATATTGTTATTATTTGTCTTTTGTGCTTGAGAAATATCCAAGTAGTAGATTACAAACATTTTTTTTTCTTCATTTTCCTTTTTCATATAAATAAACGAATCCTTTACATAATTTTCAATATCTATTCAATAAACAATCGAAAAAGATTTCAATAGTTAAATGATTCATTGTTGTTGTGTATATTATATAGTAGAAGCAAAATATGAGAAAAAGATTACAAAAATTTTGTATTAATCATATTAATTTATATTATAAAGAAAAAAATCTTGTTTGAATGAATGAATAAATGAATTTGATTGAAATTTTATCTGTATACAAAAATAAAATTGTCGATTTAAAAAATTTTAATTCAAATTAAATCAAGATTTGACAAATGAATTTATTGAAGTACAATAAAAATAATTATATGATCAATAATTTAATGATGATGGATGGGAAGTATGAGAAATTATTAAAGATTATAAATAATCATTATTTATTTAAGTAGATATTTAAGTATTATTCAAAGTTGAATATAACTACGACTTTTTTTTTCGTATTAAAATCCTAATATGATGCTTTAAGATTGCTTTTTGTGAATATTAAAATTATAAAATTTGCATAAAATCAAAAGAATTAAATCAGTTATTTGTCAATCTTTGATCTTTTATTCATTTTTATTATTCTGAATAAGTCTTAAAATAGTTTAATATCTAAATTAATGAATTACTCATTGTTTTTGACGATGATTGATTACTCAGTGTGATAATGATTTCTTACTAAAAATAAAAAGCTTGACTCACTAAATTTATTAAAAGCACGGCTAAAATGTCATTTATATTGATAAATGTAATGAGTTTCTTTTATAAAGTTTCTACTGCATAACTTTCTGAGTAATATTTTTATCCACCTACGGTGCAAGTTTTTTTTTTAATCTGTCGTGACATTCTTTTATTCTATAATTAACCATTCTTTGTGATATATACATCAGCACATTAGCTTTGATATGATTCATACACTTAGTTTATTTATAGATTGTTGTAAGTGTATAGTTTGACCTAAATTTAGAATCGATTAATAATGAACTGAACTATTAAATAATATTTAGTATAGTTGAAAAATAGATCCTTTCATCAATTCATGCTTCTGAATAATCACACGAATTCTTCTGATTCTGATTATGTTTAAACACAAATATGATGACCGCAAAAGAAGTCCTGAGAGATTTGAAAAAAATGTGACATCATCTTAGATAAATTTATATCAATTACCTGCTTCTAATCTGTACAAAGCAAACTCACCCACTCGACATATGTATTTTTGTTTTTGGACTTCCTTCTCTTTTCCATTTATTACGACTCTTTAAGTTGTTTTATATGATGTTATAATATGCCATATATATCATTGTATATCTTCATCTGTCTTGTTTCTGTCGCTCTGCTTCCTTTCTTTGCTCTTTGATGTTCTTCTACAGACGAACGTATATTTTGTCCGTAAAATAAGTGAACAACGAATAGAACATAACATGGAGTTAATGGTACACATAAATTTTTTTTTTTTGTCAATCTATGTCAGAGAACAACGTATATAACAGTAACAATTGAACTCTACATAATAAAAAAAAAAACATTTAACAAAGATTTTGCAGATAGATACAATTTTGATCCCATATGGCAAGCAAATCATTTCCAAATTGGCAGATATTCGAAGGCGATCGACATTTCTTGTCGATTTTAATAAGTTTTCCATCCGTAGAAATGTGAAAGATTCTAGGCTTCTGGCAGGCAACTACTATCCATTGATTATCAATTATTGGACAACAACGAATCGGATAAATTGAACAGACTTCTTCGAGCTGAATTGACCAAAGACATTGAAGCATTGTTAATGATCGAAGTTCAAGACGACTGTTATTCTTTGTACAACAATTTATGATTAAACCTAGAAAGCCATTGTTAAACTTAAGATCTTCAATCCATTCATCCGTTGTGCATGTAACAGGTGACTTCCACTCTTTGTAAAACGTACTGAATATCATGAGAGTGTATTCAAAGATCGACGATCCAGTTCCTTCTGTTGATAAGAAGAGTCTAGTATCTGAACATGTAACATTCTTCCAGTTGACCGAATCCAATGGTAAATAATGTTCAAGAAGCATTGTTTTTTCATCTAGTGTGAAAACGTATTTGCGATTGACCACAATAAAACGATCAAGTGTTGATGACCAACATATATCAGAAATATCAAGAGGCCATGGCGTTTGCTTGATAATAGTTAATTGTCGATCGAGTAAGCACAAATTGGGATCTCGATGTACTAATAGATGTTTTGTATTGCTAGCCAAGACAGCATATGAATAGGTAGTCAGTTTAATCATTCGATGTGAAGATGCACAAGGTAAAAGATCTTGCGAGAATTGAACAATCAGATTTTCGTCAATAATAAGAGGATGAAAATTAAATCGAATATGAGTTAAATCTTGTTCAATCTGATGAATCAATGTTTTGATCTGATTTATGTTTTCTGGTGTTGTATCTTGCATACGAACTAGATCTTCGGTGATGAGTCGCAAACGATCAAGTTCTTCTATTCGATTCTTCAGAAAAGTTTGACGCCTTTCATTACAGAAAGAATCGAGTATTCGTTGAGATTCAAGACGCCATTGCTCGAGATTGACGAGAAAAGGCAGTTCAAATGAAGAGATTCGATTAGTAAGTGTCTTGATTTCGTCGACGAGCGATGTAAACTGAGCATTACGTCGATTCGAATGTTCGTTAATATGTATTGTACAAATATTTAAATGACAGCATTCACATACAGCAAACACCTCATGTGTGCATGATGAAATGTTACATTGTTGAAATGAAGATGAGGCCATTTTGAATTGATTGTAATGCAACTATTTCTTTGCTGTCTCTTTATAAGTTAAAACGTATCGGATAGTCATTGTACATTGATGCCAATCAATAACAATGAAAATATTCGGCCGAAATATATTTTATTTTCTGCGAAAGAGGTCATGGACGAAGAAAAATCGAAACGGGCGTTCCCCTCCAGTCGCACAAAGCCCAAGAGAAACTACCGATATTAAAACATACGTTAGACAAATTCTGATTAGCAACGTAGATATTTTATTGTATGGAATGATATTAACATCGAAACAAAGATCAAACATAAGTCAAGAGATAAAAAAAGAAACATTTAGCAGTTGCTATTTCTTTTCGTTTAGCAATCGTAAATGATAAACTATCGAAATATTCCATATCATTTTTAATATTTTCATAATACCGTTCATTTTCATTGCAACTCTTTTAGTTTTGCCTCTAGACCTATATCAAATTGAATACACATATGTTGATCATTCGAATTTCTATGGACTTCTGCAGGATAACCATGATGTGTGTATTTCCAATATGAAATACAAAAAGCAAATAGAAATTTAAATCACTCATAATACATAAAGTTATTTCTCAATCTTGTCTTAAGATATAAGAAAATTATTGATGACTCTTATAGATCTGATAATCCATTAATCTTTTGTTATAAAAAGATTATTTTCTAATATAAGCAAATACTAATGGCAAATGACTTACTGAGTGTCACAACTTAAAAAAAAAAGAAATTTTTTTACAAAATTTTAATACAATATATTACAATAAGGCATTGAAGATGATCAGAAGCTGTTCTTTAAACGATTGGTAACAATCATAGATTACAAATCTATGATTCACTGATAGATGAACTGCATACTTGGTTAACATGACTCTTACCGATGATTGTTATTTAAGAGAAAGATTTTAAAAAAATATGTGCGTGGACGACGGTACCTCTGTTGTTGTGTTTTTTTTTCTTATTGTAGAACACTGAAGAAAAAAGCTAATGTTGTTGGAACAAATATAAACTAAATTTTTTTGTAAAGAAAAGTAAATCAGTCTGAGAAAATAATCAAGGGTGAACAAATTATATTGTCCTTTGAATTGAGCACAAAAAAAAACCAGTGTTTTTGATTGTAAACAGGCACATAAATAGGGAAGACGACGCGTGGAGCGTTATACCCTTCTGTTTCAGAAATTTAACTAAGCAGCTTCCCTATCTTGGGCACTTTTCTATGTTAAAATCCCTCTCTGATCCTCTATACTTTCTTTCTTCAGAGATGACTTACGCGCCTCATTATAAACCTGTTCCTTTAATAAATTGAATAAAACATAAAGCTCATCCGCAAATAGTCAATTACTATTGCATAATAGACAACATAAATTGAAAAATTTTGTGGAAACCACTACTTAGTTTAATATAGGAGGATCCAAAACGAATCTATATCGATAATAGCCATTGCATGCATGTTATGGTGTCATAACGAACCTTTTCCGTGGCCAATCTGAAATTAGTGACATCTATATTCATTTTTTTTATCATCATACTCAATATCCTTTAGTGCCTTTCTTAATTAGAGCTTTTGACGTTAGGACTAATTAGAATCGCCATCAACCAAGTGTACCTCAGAAACAAATATATGACGCTACACTAATCCGTCGCAGCAGACCATAGATCAGATGATCAATCTTCAATAAAACGGCGGACGACAAATGATCAACATGTAATAGAGAGACCAAGTTTTTTCCTATATAATAACCTTTTTTCTTTTTGCAAATAGGCAGAAATGTGTATATATATAAAGACAATTGACTAAAATGATCAGTTAGTTTTAGAGCTCAAAGTTAAATTTGATATATATCGAGTATCTTAAAATCTCGTACACTGAAGTTTCGATGAGACCAGAAAGGTTCTAAAAGAGCTCCTACCATGAGTCTCTAAAGATGAATTATGACTGTTTTACTGAATTTTTGATTCAACGTTATAAAGAAAGATAGTTTGAATAAAAACTTCATCTTTCTTTTGTTAAATTTTTAATTGATTGAATAATTTCATACATAAAATTAGTCTATCCTAAATCATTAGGTCTACACAATGCTTACAAAAAAAACGACATTTTATCCAATTTTGAATGTTTTGGTAGAAACTCTATCAAATTAAATATCTTAGTTTTATTAATATGTTTGTACGTTGTAAAAAATATTTACAATAACAATGTGTCCTAACATAATTAATAGAGTATTAAAGCCATATTTGAATTTCTTCAAACGAACATCGTAATCGATATGATCGATTCAGTGGCCATTCATACAGTTGTCGTCGAATTGTAGGTGGAAAACAGGGTGAACTAGAAGAAGTCGACTTAAAACTTATAGAAAGTGAAACAAGTTGTTGTAAATGATCAACAAGAAAATGAACAAGATTAACAATATATTTCGAAGATTCATTCTGATCAACAACAGTATGCGGTAATTTGCTTTGTAATCCACGGAATGACTTAAAGATAGCGAACGAAACATCTTTCAAATTGGGCAATTGATTAGTGAGAAGCGTGCAAAAATCTTCCATATTAGACATTGCCAATGACCAATCCATTAGATGAAGTGATTGTATCTAATAAATAAAAATTAATCTTTTAAAGAAAAACATTTTTCATTTCATCAGAAATCAGGGTATCTTGCATAAGGCAATATCTTCTATTGTCAGAAACACAATTCGACTGCATCTTTTGATTAGAAGTAGACCTCTAGAGAACTGATCAGACAAAAAACATTGGAGTATATGCCTTGGTAACTAACAATTATAATCCTTAGAAAATTTTCATCTGAAATTTTGCCTATGGATAGAACTAATCGTCATTAGAATGTCTTCATAATTTTAACATCAGCTAATGTATCCTTCTTAAGATATTTACACTTCAGATAAATCCAGCTATTACATTCTTCCTTTAGTATATGGTTGTGTTCTGAAAATTTCTTCTTTTGAAAAAGATATCTACCATTTTGTTGAAAATATCACACTATTCTATTAAGAATCAGATCTGTTCATAGAGAAATTCTCAAGTTTAAATTCTGTATTTCGATTCCTTGCTATAGATAAAGGTTGACGATGGAGGTTATAAGTCTTCATCACAAGATCATATGAATGAAGAAGTTGAAAAAGTTTTCTTAATCGTGTAGAAAATTATTCATAGCGAAAATATACAGTCGAATAACGTACTATTACAATTGAAAATGTTGACTCATTAGGAAAAGAATAAATCATAAGTCTACAATGATTATCTCCTCCCAAACCTAAATTTTTATTTTTAAAATTTAGTTGAAATTAAATCCTAACATGAATGAAAATAAAAGTAATAAAGAAGCAAAATTTCACTTTTATTTTTCTTTTAAAACATAAATACTTACTTGTCGATTAACAATTGTACCAAGATTATCTTCGTTATTTAATAAAGCATGAACTAAATTACTATCTTCATCATTGATTTCTAATGTATGTATGTTATAAGCTGATTTTAATATTGATGCGAGCTGAGCTGGACTAATAGTACTGTTATTTTCAATTGAAATTTTTTTTAGTGACGACCATGGAACGAGTAATGATATTGAACTTCTGCAATTACTGAGATCTATAAGACGACTTTCTCTTTCACAAACTTCGATGAATAATTCATTAGCATATGGAAATAATTTTACTCCATTAACTGCTATTTGAGAAGATCTAAATAGAAAAGAATATCTCTAACTCTTTCATAGAAAATATTTCATACATACATTTGGAGATTTTCAGAAAAAAACGATGTTTCAAGAATTGTACCATTATATGGTACAGTATAAACGAAAAAAGAATAAGTATCAGAAGTAATACAAGAAAACCGAGAATTCTCTTGAATAATTACGGCTGGTCGTTTTCGATAAGTAAACGCAGCTTTAAAAAACGAATTCAGGATTACTTTTTCCTCTAAATCTTCTTTGATAGTCAGCAATAGATTAAGAGTATAGGTTGCATATGGTTTGAGACGATCAATACACAATTGCTGAATAGTATCACCTGATACAACAAATGGATCAGATACTGATGACCACATTTCTAATTTTAGTGATAAATGAGTAAGTTGACCAAATACAGATGATAAAAGCGCAATGGCTCGATGAAAACTTCTGTTATCCAAACAGTTCAAACTAAGACGAAATAGACGACGAAGAAGATAAGTATTAACAGCGACAGGCAATCTAAATGATTTTATTTCATTTCTACTTGTATAAATCACTATATGTTACTTACTTGAGTATACTAAAATTATCATTCTCATACTTCTTTGAATCATATACACCAACAGAGAGATTTTCGATAAATGGTACACAAACAAGTAAACGTTCTAAAAAGCGTGATGTATTAATACCAATGCTCAATGTACGAAGATGAGTTGTATTGGAAAGATATGGCAAAGTCATCAATGGTGGTAATACTGAATATTTTGATAATCGATCACGAATATACGAACAAAAATTAAATGGAAGACGACAAATTTTTAGAACAGGCAGTTGTGAACATACCTTTTATAAAGATAAAGAAATATACATGATAATATTTAAAAATGTTCTATCAAAAATATCTATAAATTCATAATGAAATCAAGTCATATTTTGCTTTCTTACCTTAGCTAAATATGCTCCTTCTACAACTTGATAGTTGAAAGGATTATGTTCTGTTATATCAACTAGTAAAGTATGTAGTTGTCTTATTACAGAACTACGCAATAATTTATCAAATTCATGTGGTTTAATATTGATTAGATGAAGTCGTTGAAGTAAGATTGTTTGATGACATCGTAAAGATGATGAAACGAGTGACCAACCACCAATAATATTATTTAATGTAATACGTAATGAGACAACGCGGGCTCCTACCAATTTTAACACATTTTGACAAAAATGATTGAACATCGATAATGACATTCTATTACTACCGATATGGATGTGCCACACATATTCATTTATAATAATTGTCGAAAAGCGTTTATTCAAAGATAAAAATGATTGAAGAATGTCAGGAAGAGACAAATAAGCAAAAATTTCAAAAAAAATATCAACTGGTAAACATTCAAACTTGCTCAAGGTCATTTTCTTCATGGTTTTTTTATTCATTTATAGCACACTATATATATATATATATGTCATACAAAATAATGCACATTCATCTGTTTTGTTTGACGGACATTGTTTTTCTAATTTCTCTCTTTTATTCCATAGGTGTTAACCTGAACGATAGAAAAAAACAAAGAAAACATGGTCACTGATAGTTGCTTAATATATGCTTGAATGACTATACAATATCATTTGTTTGATTTATCCATATATACTCCTCAAGTATTGTTCGAAATCGCATTACTCAACAGTTTTATTGAAAAATTATTCAAAGAAAAATACAATATATATCTTAAAATTTAATTAAGTATTAGTTCACTTTAGACATAGCCTTCATTCACATACTTCGATGTGCAGTGTAACAAACATATCCATTGAGAGCGTACAATATATCTAAAGTGAACCAATATCATTACTGAATCATTAATAAAATACGTAACACATTAATAATATTTCTTTGTCTTCGTTGTCAAAGATCAATATAAATAAATGAAGTACATTTATTATACTGTGATTTTTTCTTAAAATAGTGTGCCCTATAGATTTTTAATATTTAGTTTTTAATAAACAGTTCTCATATTCAAAACCAAAAAATAATTCACATGGATATTAGCAAGATTGGACAATTTAAAAAACAATCGAACTGAACTTCGGATTCACATTCATTTATTTTAAAAGATGTTTTTGATAAAATAAATAATATCTGATTTAGTGTTAGATTAAGTCATTTTTCAATTAGATTTTTTTTATTGTAGATTCAATTTTAAATGAATTATCCTTCAATTCTAAATTAATACTAAGTTGAAAAACTTTTCTTTCTTCTTAAAAATGATGTCTTCTGTTACCATCCTTTTGATTTTACTTTGAACTACGATTTCTACTCCATTCTTGATTTTAGATATTTAATTTATTAATAAAACTTATTATGTGCTGGACTTATTTCAGAGAGACACTCAATTGAAAATATCTATTAGTACCTATGAACTTTTTTTGTTTTTCGTATTCGATTGTATCCTCATTTAATTTTAGAGAAATTGCATGTTGCATTGATATATTTATTTTTATGATATGTTTTATTTATGTAGAATAATATATGTATTCACATTTTCAATAAAAATATTCTTTAACATAAATTAATGATGGAACTTCTTCATATAATAGTCGAAATCGAGGTTACATAAACAAAATCATTTTCCTTATCGATATATTAAAGGAAAATAATCGATCATAAAACCATAATTTATCACAAAAATCGTCATAATCATCGGAGAAAAAAAAATCGGCGATTTATCGTATTTCAGCTTACGATTATCGTTTCGATATATCACGATTAATCGCCAATTTTTTCATGATTTCGAGGACATGGACAGACGATGCATTAGAAGCGCCGTTTTGGGTACAATTAGATTCTGTTATATGATGCTAGAATATAAATTCAAGTAGTTCTTTATTATTCGAAAAGAAAAAAAGAACTATCAAAATTTGATTTATAGTATAAGAAAAAGCAAAGCTACATAAAAATCAATAGATTGAATGAATCGTCAAACGATTCGAGAATTTTTCTGTTAAGTTTATCATGAAAAATACTGAGAATACCATATATATTACTCAAAAACAAATCACACTAGCAAAAGATTCGATTAATCAAACATAGACTTAAAGAATATTTTTCTATTCGTCGATTACGATAATACCTTTGATTCAAAAAAAAATGCAACATTCTAATAGTCTGTTGTTTTGAATAATTTTTCGTTATATACTATCAATCGAACAGCAGAAAATATTCAAGACGTTGTTAATGAATACTCCCATGTTTCAGCTACCTGCCAATATGGGATACTACACCTGATGATAGATCCAATAGGCGGATATCTTCTCTATAATTAATATTAGTTGTAGCTCTGAACAGAAGATTGGCGTGACGTAGAGTTCTTGCGCTCAATCGCTTGAATTCTCCATGCATACTAGTTAATCAGAAGAGCAGATATATGTGTCACAAATTATCGTATAGAACGAAAATCGAACCGTAAAATTCGAAAATAAGATATACTAAAAATTATTTTTTAATCCTAATAAAATATATATATTCTTGAGCCGCTTATATCTAATCAAAGCACTAATTAACGAACGTATCATTTCTGGTTCGTTTTGAATTCTTATCTATTTTATTAAATTCAATTAGGATTCTAACATTGCTTAAAACCTTATAATGATCTTGATCAGCAAACATTTTCTAAAGATGTTGATTGACTAAGTAAAAACTTTAACTAATCAATTTCTATTTTTGATAGTTAAAACAACAGTAGAGAACTATCAATTTTTGATTTGCAAACAAAGTATCCAGAAAATGTCACTTTAATTATGATGCATATAATAATGAAAAAGCTATTGAAAGACAATTGACTAAAATGATCAGTTAGTTTTAGAGCTCAAAGTTAAATTTTATATATATCGAGTGTCTTAAAATCTCGTACACTGAAGTTTCGATGAGGCCAGAAAGATTCTAAAAGAGTCCCTACTCATGAGTTTATAAAGACGAATTATGACTGTTTTACTGAATTTTTGATTCAATGTTAAGTATTCACTAAAAAATTAGATGACGATATTTCGATCTGAAATTTGGTCCATAAAACAGATCGAATGACTAGCAGAATATCTTGAAAGTTTCAGTCAAAAACAATGTTCCTTTGTCAAGATATTGAGTTTTCAAATAAACTCGATTCGTATGGCACACGAACAGTTTTTGGAAACTCAGTATCTCAACAAAGGAACATTGTTTTCAACTGAAATCTTCAGAATATTCGACCAGTCATTCCAACTCTTTATAGACGAAATTTTAAATCGAAATGCTGTTATTTGATATTTCGATAAATATTTAAAGTTGGATCGAAAATTCAGTAAAACGGTCATAACTCGACTCGAGAAATCCATGGGCACAAATTCTTTTAAGATTTTTCTAGTCTTACCGAAACATTCCTGTGAACGAAATATGAGCTCAAACGGCGAATATTAGTTTGGATAGCTTCCTTGTTAATCTCATAAAAATTTCTTTGTAGCCCAATATTATTTTGTGGTTAAAAATATTCTTTAGTCACGACAAAGTTTATATTTAAATGAATATCTATCCAATCAATATGGATATTGTCTGTTGGAAACTATAATTTGTTTAAGATAAACATTTTGCTCAGATTATATCATTGATCACAATAGTATTTTTGATAACATTATGAGATTATTCATTTTGAAATAGATATATAATGTAATATTATTAACTAACATCTCATAAGATTTAGATCAATTTACATGGGAAAAAATTTATCCTCAGGAGATAAATGTTGTATATCAAAAACAAATATTTTTGATTAAGAGAAATGAAAACAGAACTTAGCAAGTGCAAAGAAAATGAAATGTTTGATCGTACACTCAACATCATTATGTAATTATTTTAATGACATATATTAAAGCAATATTAATTAGCAGAAACATTAGTTGATATATTCTTTAATATTTCAAGAAAATTTATTAAATTGTTTTTCCCTTTTTAGCATGTTGTCAAGTGCGATGGGATTATCTAATCAATATTGTGATTAGTTTAAATTCCTTTTTTTCCGAGGTTACTTTTTTTTTAAAACTAATCCTTAAATGTGATTTTGTCAGTTCTTGTCATTTTTTAATTATTCATTTTCATAAAAGTTATTATGAAAAAAAAAAAAGAAGAAGAGTACAAAGTTTATTAATCATACAAGTAATTGGAACTTTGTCATCCTTTTTTCTTTCAATCAAAACTACATTCTCGTGTTGAACGGAAATGTTCAAGAGTCCTTCTTTTTTTTCTTTATGCTAAGTAGACTACTTGCCTATTCAACAAAAGATATGTAACGCACGGTTGTAGTGTATGATATGAAGGAAGCACTTGTCATCTTCGTTGATTTTCGCTTGTTTTCTCTCTCTGTCTCTCTCTCTCTTTATTTTCTTCTTTTTTTCCTATAGGTTTTTTTTCTTTGAAAGAAAGATCATTTATTCAATTTGATGTCAGCGATTTAGCTACTCATAGAATCTTTATATGCTCTGCTTAACGTTTTTTTAGTAAAGTCTGTTGTATTGTGTAGTTTTTATTATCTCTTTTATTTATAAAAAAAAAAAAACAATTAAATACGTCAATTGTCGAATGATGCATCGTTTACGACATTTCAGTAAGTAAAAACAAAAAAAATGATCCGTAATTTGAAAACATAAATACAAGAAATATATTGACAAGCAAAATAAAGAGACAAACTTTCATAGAAAAAAACTAATAATCTAAACTTTTGAAATACATGTAATTAACTATGAGAAAATGTTATTGGGTTATTGCCGATAGTGAAAGTTGTGAAACAATACGGCTGCCTAGAGAATGCTTGACTCTCGCTCCTATTTCCTGTTATTTTCTACTATGTGCTTGAGAGTCTCGCGTGTATTTGCTGTGCAGACCCTCCCACGCGTCCGCTTTGCTAATACGATGAGAGACACAGATTCTTTTTCTCTTCTCTTTCTCTCTCTCTCTCTCTCTCTCTCTCGTTTTATATTTCTCTCTCCTTCCTTGTTCCGTGTTGTGTTTGCTTGCTTGGGTGTCAGAAAAGGATAAATCAAACAATAAAAAAAAAAACTCATCGACCAGAGAAGCAATTTATCTAACTACGTACATATACATTCATACAGAAAAAAAGCACACAGGTTCCTATTACAAACAAAAGACAAATTTATTCATTCGGCTTTTTCTCTTCCGGAAATTCTCCGAAAAATTTCATCAGTCAGTACACAAATACAAATCA